TTGAATTTGCATTTTCCCCAACATTCTTGAATTGCATCTGTTTAAATATAAAAACAGGATATTACATTAAAATAGTATGGTGAAATAATTTGATATACAATTCCCAGTATATATATTTATGTGTTAGATTTATATACTTGCTTTATTTCATATTTGTTCTCAAATGACCGAGAGTTAGTAATTGGCCATTACTAGTAATTGGCCATGGTCAGCCAGTGAATTCCACAGGCAAGTACAGATTTAAACACTTTTCAGTGATGTGCTTTTTAGGATGATAACTTAAGAGCAGCAATTGGTGGCTCTGTCTCCCCTCTGTTCAGCAATCCCTCCCATTTGTCAGATGGAAAAAAATAACAACCAATCACTCTCCTTAACATTGGCATGGTGCAGAATGGGTGACGGAAGCTTGCAAATCAGAGATCTGCTACTTGTATTCCACCAGGAGCTATTATGGCCATGCTGAACATTTAAAAATCATATTGAAAACTAAATGCTTTGTGGTACTTCGCAACTCACCCTATTGTGTGATCTCCACAGCAACTGTCCTGTTGGTCCTGCTCTAGTCTTGTTTTTTATGAAGAGGTCTTTAAATAGATCTCTAGAAAACGTTTTTTTTAAACTTGCTGCTATTGTGACTGACCCATCTTTTTAAAATATTTTATTTTAAATATTTTAAAGAGAGAGAGAGAGAGATAGAGATAGAGATAGAGAGAGAGAGAGAGAGAGAGAGAGAGAGAGAGAGAGAGAGAGAGAGAGAGAGAATTTGATAACAGTATAAATAAGGAGGCTTACATTAGACTTGAATTGCTTTGGAAATCTTGAACAAGGCATTGTGTGGGCCTCTGGAAACCAGATGTCTTATCCATCCAGCACTGCAAAGCACAATGAACTTGGAGGGGAGGATTATATGTATGTCTGCCCGGCAATCAAAAGTAGACAATGGAAACTGAACAGATCCCAGATCCTGACCACCACATCACCACATCACCACATGCCACTCTAAGTCATTACTACATTATACTAAAGTGCCAGAAATCCTGCATGTCGCAAACCTTTTATTGAGAGAAGATGAAACACATGATTTTTTTTAAACATGGTATTTGCTCAAAACAAAGCCACGTGGCCTCAACTCTGGGAGGAGAGGTCACAATAACCTTTAAAAAGGTATAAGTAAGGTATATTTGGAGGTTATGTGGACGAACACTGAATCTGGTGGTATATGAGGATGACTATAGGAAAAGGAAAAAAATTAATCTATCCCTATCCCAATATTCATTCTTCTGATTTTCAACTTTAGCAATATTTATTTTTGTATCAGTAATAGTTGTGCATTATGGTTTTAGACTGCAGTGCTAAATAATGTTGGTAAAGTTGCATTTATCTGCCTCAGTTGAAAACTTACCCAATAGATTAATGTCAGGGGTCCATTAAAAACTAAACCACCTTTTCCTGCAGCTCAGACTGAAGCTGAGCTTTTGCCCTGTTTTTCTGACCTCTGCATTCTTCAATGCCTGTGGTCCTGCCGCAGGTCTCTGAGAAATGTAACCTCCTTTTGACACATGGTTCCATACTTTGGTGAAAAAAAGCTGGGACACAATTCAGCTTTTTTCCCCCTGGGAATGCTGCTGACTGGATGAGCTATGTTTACTGTTTTTAGATATGATAATCATTCTGTTCATTCAATTCTGGTGCTCCATTTATTACATTCATATTTTTAACATAATCAATCAATCAATCAATCAATCAATCAATCAATGCATACATTATAATTTAGCCAAAATAATTCCCAGAGAATTTTATTTATTTATTTATTTATTTATTTATTTATTTATTTATTTATTTATTTATTATTTATTTATTTATTTATTAGTTCAATTTATATGCCGCCCTTCTCCGGAGACTCAGGGCGGCTTACAATGTGTTAAGCAATAGCCTTCATACTTTTGTATATACCTGCTTAGTAGGGCTTTCGCCCCCCCTAAGTGGTGTTCTTTTTTATACAAAATCAGCGTATTGCCCCCACAATCCGGGTCCTCATTTTACCTACCTCAGAAGGATGGAAGGCTAAGTCAACCTTGAGCCTGGTGAGATTTGAACTTGCAGTAATTGCAGGCAGCTGGGAACTAAATGCTACTTTAACAGCACTTAGTCCACTGCGCCACCAGGCTCCTTGTGTATGTGTTTGCACATTTGCCAATTTCAGTTCCCTGAAGTGTGTTTCTTTTGACAAGACACCTCTTGAAGCATTAATATATGTTCACTGGTAATTGGAGTATTTGATTGAAACCCTGAAAAACTGAATCAAATTATAATGTTAGTTCTTGGTGAACCCAACAGGCCACTGTTACAACATCCCTTAACACCTATTACTCTTGCTACTATCTCTGAACACCCAAAGACTGGGGATGATTTCAGAAAATGGTATTTTGAGGGACTTCTAGATGAGACATTTGTGATATTGTCACATCAGCTCTGCACCTTGTGATTTATTTCTGGCGGAGCTTCGATGAAAGAAGAGCTATTCTGAAGGCAGATTTAAGCTGAAAATGGTAGAATTCTATAGAGCCATGATTGAAAATCTATGGTATGTGTGCCAGAGGTGACACGCAGCGTTCTCTCTGATGGCACATGAGCCGTCACCCCAGTTCAGCTCCACTGCGCATGTGTGCGTGCTTCCTGCCAGCCAGTTGGTGTTCAGGTCTCTGCAGCGCATGCACAGGGTTGGGGTGTGTGCGGGAGGTGCACACACATGCGCAGGGAGCACATGGGGGGCGAATGCACAGGGCTGCACGCACATTGCATTTTGGGGGTTCAGGCACATGCACGCTCATTCGCACACACCCACGCTTTGGGCACTCGGTCCAGGAATGGTTAGCCATCACTGCTATAGAGCTTCAGGAAGGAGCATTTCCTTGTTGGAAAGAACTTTTGGCTCAATCTTCCATTTAAAGGAATTTAACTTGCAAAAAAAATGCAGCTGCTCCTAAAAAAGGGATTTAATTACTTAAATTCTGCATTCTAAAAATTTAATTAAAAATGAATACCTATTGAATAGTTTCTTTAAATGCAAATTTTTGGTTTTAAAAAGCAGTCTGGTAGATAGTAACTTTGAATATGTCCAATAGAAGCAGGGGTGAAATCCAGCAGGTTATGACAGGTTCTGGAGAACCGGTAGCAGAAATTTTGAGCAGTTCGGAGAATCAGCAAATACCACCTCGGCCTGGCCCCAGAGTGGGGTGGGAATGGAGATTTTGCAGTCCTTCCCCTGCCACACCTACCAAGCCACACCCACCAAGCCATACCAAGCCATGCCCACAGAACCGGTAGTAAAAAAAATTGGATTTCACCACTGAATAGAAGTATAGTATAAACTGGAAGACATGACCAGTCAGATGTCATGTTTTAATTCAGTTTTCTTAATGCTCATTTTCCTGAAATTTTAAGAAAAGTTTCATGGTTTATTGTTGTTTTAGAGAATTTATCTTCTCAGCCCAGAAACTCAAAAGGTTTTTCTCTCCTGAGATACTTAGACTATGAGTGCAGGAAACTATTGTATGATTCTATGTATTTGTACAGAAAGCTAACCTATGATTATTTTAATCCTGGCTTAGTGAACAATCACAAAAAACTGGGTTTATACATTATGCAAAGCTATAAAACCTGTCAAGCATATTGATAAGATAGATAGAACAGCAAAATCGAATAAGCAATATCGGTGCTTATCATAACCACCTTTCACCACGCATGAACGAAGAGCCTGACAAGGTGGATCAAGTGGCTAAGACACTGAGCTTGTCGATCAGAAAGGTCAGCAGTTCGGTGGTTCGAATCCCTAGTACAGCATGAACAGTGTGAGCAGCATGAGTAGTGGGTTGGACTAGATGACCTCCAAGGTCCCTTCCAAGTTCAACTCTGTTACTGTTAAGTTAAGAAGACTCATTTCATCCATGCTCTTCTGAGTTGACCTGTTTTGGTGTAGTGGACAAAAGTAAGTTTCTGAGCTGAGTCACTATTCTTGAAATGAGAATAGAAACCAATAAAATAATGTATAATATAGTAATAAGATCTAGCCTCTGGCCTCTTCCCCAGCTGTTAAGTGGAAGACTTTTGGCATTGTTTGTTTCTCTCTTTCTTATCTGAATTTGAAATGTTACTTTGATAAAACACATTTTTGGCTTGCAGTTTCAGTTGCCTCAAAAATATAGCCAAAGGGATGCCAAATGTTGTAATTTTTGGTGCGAAGAAGAAACACAGCTCTCTCTTTCCATTGTTCTCAACTTCCATTTATTTATTACAGTGACAGTTTTATCTTTCTCCTCAAGCTCTTTCACCACAGATTTCAATCTAAGAATTAAGAAAAATCAATGTAGATGCCTAAAGTAAATGCAGCATGAGTTAGGAAGTGCAGCTAACAATAAGAATGTTCTGGAATCATAGACTTGTTTTATTTGTATGGATGCCGTGATGTATGCACTTCTCAATCAGCAGCATATGGCCAGACTTATCACACTGAGATTTCAAGAGAGCTAAACATTGTGAGAGTGTTTTTTTTTTAAAGCAATGCTTCCAGCACTGCTGAGTCAATCCAGTTTGCCAAATATTTTATCACTACAATGTGAATCTTACTGGCTTAACTATAAGAAAAACAATCAGAATAAAATAAGACTATATGAGTAATTGCCCTGCTGGATCCAACCAAAATCTGGTCTAGTCGTGGTGGATCTGCCATCTATCCTCTCACACAAAATAGAATCAAATGAACTGCCTTGCCCTTCAAGAAAGCGGCTAATTTAACTTGGATCAGAGATTGGATGCTTTTAAATAGGAAGAGGACTCTTACATTGGAGGGTTATGATTTGTGTCAAGGTTGGCACCATTTTCTATGGAGGGAGGGAGAGGGGCAAGACATGTGGACAGTTTAAGAGACACTACCTCCGGAGAATATTATTAGAATCTTGGGAAAGAGTTCGGAACAGGCATTATTCAATGATTCTGATTTGGTTTGCCCCATTAGAGGCAGTAACACATGCGACAATATATAATAAGGAAATACCATTGACTTATAAGGATTTGCTTGACCCTCAAGGGGAATTGAAGACCCGAGAGGAGCTTACAAAACAGGGCAAAAAGGTAGACTGGTGGGCGTATGCCCAAATACAATCGAGAGTCAGAAGGGACTAAAGAAAGGAGGGAATATATAGGTCACTACAGGAGTTAGATAAAATCTTATTGGGAATTGAAAAGAAATTACTTTCAAGGTGCTACCGGTTTTTAGTATCACGATGGATTGGTGAGGAGGTGATTAAGGACACTATGATTGCCTGGGGGAAGAACCTCGGATTTTCTCCAAATCTGGATAAATGGGATGAGATATGGAATAGGAATATGAAACTTACTTTGTCAACCCCCTACAAGGAAAATATTTATAAAATGGTCTATCGTTGGCATATCCCCCCGGCAAGAATCGCAAGAATGTTCCCGGGAGTTTCTCCGGCATGCTGGAAGTGTGGGAATGGTTGTGGGACGTACTACCACCAATGGTGGACATGCCCCAAAGCAGGCAAATATTGGTCCAAGGTTCGGAACTGGATGGTGGAAATTACAGGATATAATATATAGCTGAAACCAGAGATTTTTTTATTAGGAATGAAACCAGACAAAATAACTAAGGAAAAATGGTATTTGATTCTCCACATCATTACTGCAGCTAGGATACTATATGCACAAGAATGGAAAAACGAATTAATACCCACAGAAAATAAATTGATTTGGAAATTACAGAATGCACAGAGGCAGACCGGTTAACGAAATTACTTAGGAACCAAAAAGATTCTGATTATTACAAATGTTGGAATTTATGGTATAATTGGGTGAAAGAAAAGAGAGGGAAATGAAATGGATTGTATTAGTGGTATAGGCGCATATTTGTGTACGTTAGTTGCAATAACCTTGTATGTATATATGTAAAGTATTGTATTTTTAAAAATGAAAATAAACTTTATTATAAAAAAAGAGGAAAGTAGGGGGTGGGCTGATAAAACAATGGAATAACTTAATAATAACTTTATTGTCATTGTACGTGTATACACACTATACCCATACAACGAAATTCACTTAACACCCAAAGACCAGGTCCAACACACATAACAATCCCCAAACACACCCCCACCTACCACAATTCCCCACCCATAAACCACCCAAACATCCACACAACAGACCAAGTAATACTGTCCAACAGCTTACTATATTTCGGGTTTCTTCCCGTGTAATTGTGGATATATCCCTAAAAGGGTAGAAGCGACGTTTCGACAGAATCTCATCTGCCATCATCAGGCTTATGTGAGGAGTCTTTTGCAGTAACTGCCGTTACTATTTCAAATCTGGTGCTGGTAGTCTGGGATGGCTCCACCTTTTCATTCTGATTGGTTGGGAGTCCCAGTATGTGTTTATTGGCTTGGCTTCGGGTGTATGGTCGGTTTTTCTCCACTAGGTGGCAGGGCTTCATCTTTGTGGCTGGTTTGAATATGATTTGGTTGGGATTTGTTTTTTGATTAATGTTTGATCTATGTTTTATATTTGGTGTTAAGATTCGTCTATCTATGAGAGCAGGTTTCCAAATAGTAGGCAGACGTGAAGTGTCATCCCGTTTATTCATGCAATATGGTCTTTTTTCTATTTCAATTGCTTCTCTGATTATTCTGCCATTGAGATGTTCTATTTTTGCAATTGTTTTTGTGTTATTAAAATTAATATTGTGTCCTGTTGTATTTATGTGTTGAACTAATGATGATGTGTGTTCTTGCTTTTGTATTGAGTTTTTGTGTTCCTCGATGCGCACACTCATTCTTCTGTTGGTCTGTCCAATGTATGTTGATGGGCAGGAAGCACACGGGATTTCGTATATGCCTTGATCTTCTAATTCTATTTTGTCTTTAGGGTTTCTCAGAATGGACGATATCTTTCTATCTGTGCAAAATATGGTTTTGATGTTGTGTCTATGTAGTACTTTGATACTGACTATATCGGGATGCCGGAAACCACAGCCACTCAGTCTTGGATGGGTTGAGCCTGAGTCTGTTTCTCCCCATCCAGATCCACACGGCTTCCAGGCACCGGGACATCACTTCAAGGGCATCATTGGGGTGGTCTGGGGTGGAGATGTATGGCTGAGTATCATCAGCGTCCTGATGGTACTTCACCCCGAAACCACGGATGATCTCACCCAGTGGCTTCACATAAATCTTGAACAGAAGGGGTGAGAGCACCGACCCTGTGGCACCCCACATATAAGGTGCCTTGGGGTCGACCTCTGCTCCCCTGCCAACACAGACTGCGACCGGTTGGAGAGAAAGGAGGAGAACCACCACAGCATGGTGCCCCCCACCCACAACTCTTCCAACCAGTGCAGCATGATTCCATGGTCAATGGTATCAAAAGCTGCTGAGAGATCTAATAGGACCAGGACAGAGGAACAACCCCTGTCCTGAGCCCTCCAGAGATCATCAACCAACGCGACCAATGCCGTTTCCGTGCTGTACCCAGGCCTGAAGCCCGACTGGAACGGATCCAGATAAACTGTTTCATCCAGGTACTGGGGAAGCTGTCGCGCCACCACACTCTCAACAACCTTCGCCACAAAGCAAAGGTTGGAGACCGGACGATAGTTTGCCAAAACGGCCGGGTCCAGGGAAGGCTTCTTGAGGAGAGGCCTCACCACCGCCTCTTTCAAGGCGGCGTGAAAGTCACCCTCACTCAATGAAGCATTTATAATCCCCTGGAGCCAGCCTCGTTTCACCTCCCGAGAAGCCAGCACCAACCAGGAGGGACACTAGTCCAGTAAACGTGGCTGCGCTGAGTCTACCCAGAATCCTGTCCACATCTTCGGGAGTCACAGGATCAAACTCTTCCCAGATAACATTCTCAAGACCTGCCCCCATCATCCCTCCTGAATCTACCCAGTCAGAGTCCAAGTCTTCCCGAATCTGAGCGATTTTGTCATACAGATACTGCACAAAGTCCTCGGCTCTATCCTCCAAGGGGTCCTCCCGCGCTTCCTGGTGGAGCAGGGAGCGGGTCACCCTAAACAGGGCGGCCGGGTGATTATCTGATGATGCAATAAGAGCGGCAAAATAGTTACATTTTGCCGCTTTTATCGCCACTAGATAAGTCTTAATATGAGACCTTACCAGTGTTTGGTCGGATTCAGAAAGGCTGGCCCTCCAACTGCTCTCCAGGCATCTTTTCCGGCATTTCATCTCCCTCAGCTCCTCGGTAAACCAAGGAGCTAGGTGAGACCAGCACCGGGTCAGTGGCGGCAAAGGCACGACCCGATCCAAAGCTCCTGCGGCCGCCCTATCCCAGGCGGCCACTAGGTCTTCAGTTGAGGCGTGAGCCAGAGCCTCAGGGAATGGCCCAAGCTCCGTCTGGAACCTATCAGGTTCCATCAGGCGCCTGGGGCAGAACCATCTCATCGGTTCTGCCTCCCTGTGGCGGGGTATGGCGGTTCAAAGGTCAAAGTGAAGGAGGGAGTGATCTGACCATGACAAGGGCTCAATCGTTATATCCCCTATCTCAAGATCACTCATCCACTGACCAGAGACAAAAACCAGGTCCAGCATGTTTCCCTCCATGTGAGTAGGGCCATGAACTAACTGGGTCAGGTCCAGAGCTGTCATGGAAGCCATGAACTCCCGAGCCGCCTCAGACGTCTCACCGATGGATGGCAGGTTGAAATCCCCCATGACCATGACCATAGCTCTGGGATAAAAATTATTCAGAAAACGTGTGGTTCAAGTTTTAATTGTTCTGTATTTTCTGCTTAAGGGATGTTGCCAGAAAAATCTGTGACCAAGCTAGAACATAATTCACATATAAATTTAAGCATTTGGTGGTTGTATTCAGCACCAATATGTTTATCCTATCATGGCCGTCATTAGCAATTCCAATAGAGAAGCATTCTGATCAGTCAATACTAATTACACACTTATTTTTGGACGACAGGAGAAACTTCAGGAGAGGGGGCTTCTAACTGGGAATTTTTTTTTCAAATTTGACAAATTTGAAAAGCGTGGATTAGGTTCATCAATTTTAAATTTACTTAAACTTTTTAAAAATGAAGCTTCTCAAGAGGAATTCTGCTTTCATGGTAGAAGAGGCTGTATGAACATGTGATGTTAGAGAAGAAGGGTTGTGCATCCATTGAGGTCCATTCCAACCAGAATGATGTTAAAATGATGAAATGGGTGTTGTGACACCATGATGCAAGATCCAAGATGGGCAGCAGAATTTGCATCCTAACATCTCAATGGATTTTGTCACTTTCCTCCTTTACCTCCACACCAGTGGTGGGTTGCCCCCGGTTCACACTGGTTCTATAGAACCAGTAGTAAAACCGGTGGGAGGCTCCGCCCACTGACCCTGTCATCAAAATGCTTTTGCGCATGCTCAGAAGAGCACACACGCGCGCGGCCCTGCTACAAACTGGTAGTAAAGGTAAGTAGAACCCACCCCTGCTCCACACCCCCTTCTTCTCCCAGTGGATGTTTCTGCCTAGGGCAGGGGTGTCAAACTTGCGATGACACATTGTTGTCATGTGATGTATCACAACTTTTTCCCCCTTCGCTAAACTGGGGGTGGGCGTGGCCAGCACATGACGCATCCAGCCCGAGTTTGACACCCCTGGCTCAATGCATTTATGTTGTTCATTCCTTGTTTGTTTTCAGGACAAAAGTAAATCATCCAGCATTTTGTTTTATTTTTATTGCCAGTGGAAAATCTCCGGTGATATGAGCAAGGATTTTTTTTAAAAAAAATTACTGGAATATTCTGACGAGTATTCCAGGATAGCAAAGAGGGAGGAGAGAGGAATGATTGAGCAACAGTAGACATTTCTGATTTGTCAGCAATGCAAGCCCAAGTATCTCCGCCAAGAATTTCACAACTCCCAGACATACTTTCTTTCCATTGGCCCAGCACCTGATAAAGCCATACTTGGTGTATCTCCAATTTATATATTTTTATTTTCTTGCTAATTTATTATCTTCATTTTGAGTTGAGATGAAGAGATCTCATTTGGCTCCTCTCCATGAGATAATAACTGAAAGCAAAAAAATTAAATTCTAACAAATCCATTCTAAAGCCGTGGGTTCTCCTGCAATAGGAACCCGTGTGGTCTACTAGGTAAGACTATGTGAGCTTTTGAAATATACAATTTATTTGGCCTAAGGATAAAAAAAAATTGGACATGCCAATAAATTAATCCACTCCCACTTAATATAAGTATTTCATCTCCATCTTACATTAGGAGCCAACAATTCTTCTTAGATATTAATTGTGCACAGATTCCTAGAGTCATGCCAGAAAACTCTATAAAGAAGGCAAATGTATGTTCCATTATAAGCAAGGAGATAGTTTTTCCCAATTATTTAGCAGCAGCATCTACATATTATATTTGGCTTTGATACATTCTCCAAGATATGGTAGTGTTTCTTTTTACCAGGGGTGAAATCTACTTACCTTCCTTACCGGTTTGGAAGTGCATGCGCTACACGCACACGCTCGCTTCGTTTGCATGCAGACCCTCTGCACATGCGCAAAACCTGTGCACGCACAGAGAGTAAAAAACATTACTTCCTGGTTAAAACTAGGAAGTAATGACACCCAGACGGGTGGGCGGACCCTCGCACCGCCATTGCTACCGGTTCTCCCAACCACCTGCCACAATTGCTACTGGATCGGTCTGAACCAGGAGCATTTCACCCCTGCTTTTCATCCCTCACAGCATTTAAGTTTAAGATTTTGGTTTTGTTTTGTTTTGAGCTATGTCACACTTAGCCAGAGGGTTTTAGAAGTCTTTGGCTGTTTAAGCAGATGCATTTTCTTTGCAAGGACTGGAAGGGGTGGGGAAGGGAAAGGAAAACACCTGCATTGCCCTGATTAAAGAATTGCCTTTGTTGGATGAGAATGAGAGATGAATGCAGATCAGGCCTCTATTCCTTCAAATAAGATGTTGGCATTACATCTGGGCGAGTAGCCAGCCTCTAACTTCAGCTATAAGCAGGGATGGGAGGCTAGATGACATGAATCAGAGTAGATTTTTATTTCAATTTAAACTGACATGTTTTCTTTCTTTGGTACTTTTTAAGAATAAGGAGGCAAAGGAAAAGCTTATCTCTTTGGTTACTTAAGGTAACTCAAATCCTCTTGCCCACCTCAAATATTGACCGAGCCCAACAAAACTGGCAGATTTCTTTAGAGGAAAGGTAACAAGGAGACATTTTAAGCCCATGCTTAACTTTCTGAAATTCCTACATTGTGAGCAAGCCAGTAAATATGGAAGCAAACAGATACGGATGCTTTTCTACTGTTCAGTCATGTCCTATTCTTGAAGGCTGCCCGGATAAGTCCCTGGAGTTTTCTTGCCAAGGTTTTTCAGTAGTAGTTTGCCGTTGCTTTCTTTCTAGGGCTAAGAGAAATGGCTGGCCCAAGGTCATCCAGCTGGTTTTGTGCCTAAGGGTGGGACTTGGACTCATAGCCTCCCAGTTTGTAACCACTACACTAAACTGACTCTTTGTTTTAATTATAGTTTCAAGAAAATAAAGTCCAGCTCTAACCACTGAATCACAGGCATCTTCTGACTAGTTACAATAGGAGTTCTTGATTGCAAGATGAGAATAAGCAAGGCAATCTGAAATGAACGAGTGTAAGATGTTAAGGAATCTGTGCTGACTAAAAACAACAACTCCAAAATAAAGATGTGATTAGTCAGAAATATACAAAGGAATAAACTCATGAGTTGAAATTATTTTGGGATATCCAATGGTCTATATATATATATCTGGACTGACTATGATTTAATTACTATAATATAGTTTGTGTGATGCTGCCCTTGAAAATACTTCAAAAATTCCTACAGATGGTAGTTTTGTGAATCAAAAGAATAATCCATCTCAACGCACTTCTGATCGAATACTTATATAGCTACCCTCTTGAACCAAACTGTGGGTAGCTCACAACTCATTTCAGGGTGTGCTGTTCGGGGTTATTTGCAATGAGATATGAATGCTGATGGATCTTTATACCTAGGTTTCTTGATCTTGAAAGTAGTACCAGTATAGAAACTTTCCCTTCATCTTTGAATTTCTTTACCTGGATCAAAATGCTTTTTAGCTATATTTCAGTGTACTTACCATTCATCTTCCCCTTCCCCTTGTTATAGTGACCACCACAAAATCACCCCAGTGCTTTTTTTTTTAGTTCATACATGTAGGAACAAATGCTGTTTATAATGTTTACTATTCACTTTCTGAACTAAAGCTTCCAGCTGTTCACATATTCACATATCTACAGAATGAATCCTTTCCCAATTTGAGTCTAGCTGGCAACTAGACTAATTCAGTGTGCCAAAAGAATTGGGATATTACTTTGTGCAGACCTAACTGTAGTGCAAATATAATACAAAATTGCAAGGACCAAGAATCCTATACATTTTTACACTTTCTAGCTTGGCCGCTCCCATATTAACACTTTACTCACAACTGCCTGAATGCCTCATTTCATCCAGTTCACATAAGAACCATCTTTAGCAGGGGTGAAATGCTCCCGGTTCAGACCGGATCACCCGACCCGGTAGCGATGAAGCCAGGTGGTTCGGAGAACCGGTAGCAAAAATCCCTGCCCCCCCCCCATGCTCAGCTGAGCCACACAATCATCAGAGGCTTTTTTTTTAACTTTTAAAAGCATTTTTTCTACAACTTCGGCCGAAAAAATGCTTTTAAAAATGTAAAAAAAAAAGCCTCTGATGATCGCGCAGCTTGTCAAAGGCATTTAAAAGAACTCCCCCCCCTTTTTTTTCCCTTTTAAATGCTCTGACGATCCAAGCTGAGTTCCCTGATCTTCAGGGGCTTTTTTAAAAAGCCTGGCTTGGATTGTCAGTGCCTTTTGAAAACATTTTTTTACAAAATTGGCCATGCCCACCCAGTCACATTACCCACCACCACCACCAAGCCACGCCACAAAACCGGTAGTAACAAATTTTAGATTTCACCCCTGATCTTGAGTATGGAGAACAATCTGTTACATCTCCTTTGCACTTTTCATTCTGGAAGATGTCCATGTAATGCCTAAGCTGAAAGTTTCATGGGCAAACCTTTCTGCATGTTTGGCCTTTTGATCTGAATGAGCTCCACATTTCATCTTTCATACATCTCCATTCACAAAAATACATGACTGGAAATCCTGGGAATCGTAGTGCCAGATTTCTGCAGGGCTGCCATATTCAAGGCAGAGATAATTATAATTTGTAACAAGTTTGTAAAACTATACCAAAAGCAGTGATATTATTTGCCCAGAAAGGAAAAGCAGAACCACATTTACCATGATAAAGCCCCATAGACAGAATTCCGGAATAAACTGGAATAATGTATAAACCCTGAACATTTTTGATGAGGGAGTTAATTATTTATGAAGAATAAATGACCGATGGCAACTGAAAATTTAAGAAGTGCTTGATTTATCAGCACGGTGGCTGTTGATATTGACAAATTGTTCTGTTGAATTAGGGGGTGCAAAGTAGACATGTATCTTTTCCTGATAATGTCTCACTGCTATAACAGCTTTATGCACAAATGGTTGTGTTAGAAGAAAGGCCAAATAAGGGACAATTCTCCCATCTGCAGGATGGAAAACTGCCTTGCAGCTTCCCAATCCATCAGCTCTCTGTGGCTGTCAAGGCTATCTCTGTTAGAATTTATCATTTGACATCATCTTGTGTCTCCAGATGTTTCTACAAAACTGCCTTCTAGCTGCAGGACATTCAAGCAGAGTCTAGCCAAGTAAGAGCCCATGTTTTCCCTTCAAACACAATAGCTTCCTAGGGAGCTGGGGAAGACTCTTAAGGACTGTATATCAGTCCACATACCAATATATAAAACTGAATCATGGGGATAAGAGAGAGCTAACCTAAGACAGAGAAGTTACTCCGGCGGAAAAGAAATACAATAACAGGAATCAGTTCTATATTACCCCTGTATTGTGCAGATGTCTCTCATGCTGCTGAGAAATATCTCACCAAGACAAGGTGATATATTCCCATGAGGACAGACACTATTTGGGCGCCTGTGGGAAAGACTGTGCAGTCTTTCTTTCTATCTCAAAATGGGAGTAGGGCAACTAGACTTAAAGCAAGCACTGTGATTCATTGTCTTCAAGATAATATCTGGGCTTTTCCTGAATGGTCACAGTGAGGACAAAAGAGACAGAACAGACCTTGGGCAAGGAGTGAATTCATCAGAGGTTTGCAGGGACCCCCCTCCCCCCCCCAGTGCATTTTGCTGCAAATGGTTGAGCTTCTTTTCTTCAATACTTATTCATTTAAAGAGGCAACACATATTCTTTTCAGGACTTGCTTTGCTTTTCACTTATCAATTGCTTACAGGTTTCCACTTGCTTTCATTTTCTTTTCCATTCTTGCACCAGCTCCAGTCTCTTTGTCTATGGAGATTCTCAGTCATCCATGTCATGGTTATCCCAAAGGTGCCTTTTCAAGAAGCAACTGGACTTTCTGTTTTTTGTTTGAAGACGTTTCGCTTCTCATCCAAGAAGCCTCTTCAAAGCCGAAGAAGCTTCTTGGATGAGAAGCGAAACGTCTTCAAACAAAATCTCAGAAAGTCCAGTTGCCTCTTTGGGACTCCAGTCTCTTTCAAAAGTGAACATGGCCATTATTTTATTTCATTTCAGATCTTTCACTGGCGCTATCCTATTATCATTCATCAAGTGAAGGAAAAAGGTTCTGGAGAGAATTCTTGTGCATACATACATATGTTGAACCACATTGAATGGCCAGAACTCTGTCACTGTGATGCCTGACCCAATACAAGATGGTAGATATTTTGTTGCTCAAGTGATAGATCATAGCTTTCGTATCCTTTGATACATGCAGTCCAGTGATGAAATCTAACATTTGTTACTACTGGTTCTGTGGGCTTGGTAATATGACTGGGTGGGCATGGCCAATTTTTTTTTTTTTTTACTTTTAAAACCATTTTTTCTACAACCTCTTCAGCGAAGAGGTTGTAAAAAAATGCTTTCAAAAGGCTCTGACGATCCCAGCTGAGTTGCCTGATCGGCAGAGACTTTTTTTCTTTTAAATGCCTCTAATGATCAGGCAACTCAGCTTGGATAGTCAGAGGCATTTAAAAGAAAAAAGGGTTTTTTTCTTTTAAAAGCCTTTGATGATCCCAGCTGAGCCGCGCAATCATCAGACACTTTTTTTTTTACTTTTAAAAGCATTTTTTCGGCTGAAGAGGCTGTAGAAAAAATGCTTTTAAAAATAATTTTAAAAAGCCTCTGATGATTGTGTGGCTCAGCTGGGCATGGGGGGGGGGGCAGGGATTTTTGCTACCGGTTCTCCGAACCATCCGCTGCCATCACTATCGGATCGGGCGATCCAGTCCGAACCGGGAGCATTTCACCCCTGATACAGTCTTCAACCTAAAACCACAATTGTGTCTAGAATTTATGTTACCAAGCAAGGCAATTGTTAAGTGAATCGTGCCTGATTTTACAACTTTTTTTGCCATGGTTGTTAAGCAAATCATTGCAGTTAAGTGAATCACATGGTTGTTGACAGAATCTGACTTCCACCATTGACTTTGTCAGATGGCAGCTGCGAAGGTCAAAAATGGCGACCACATTACTCAGGGACTCTGCAACCATCATAAATATTTGCCAGTTGCCAGGCACCCACATTTTGATCAAGTGGCTGTATGGATGCTGTGACAGTCATAAGTGTAAGGACCGATCATATCTCACTTTTTTCAGTGCCATTATAACTTTGAACAGTCACTAAATGAATGGTTGTAAGTCAAGGACTATCTGTATCTGTGCTGACTGAGTAGCATTTAGAGAACTGACAGCATCCATTCAATGAAGGATGCTTAAATGTTTGTTACCTTACATGAGATTTGGTTTCTTCCAACATGAATATATAGTCTCCCAATTGCAATATTAGACTCCCAAGATACCAAATCTTGGCACAATGTCCTAGGAAGTACCTCCTTTCAATTCTGTGGGATTTGCTTCCAAATAAACCTGAATAGAATTGTATGACTCATTACTTGAGCCACTTATAGGAAACAGGAGCTAGTAAAAGTGTGTACTTTATTAGAAGCAGAGAGTAAGGAACAATCTATAAACGCAGCATGACAATTAACGTCTCAAAGACTCAAACTTGGATTCCTCAATGGATGCCACCAAATTCCATTTTAATATGATAGACAAAGGAAATGGTTAAATAAATGGAGAGAACTTTTATTATTCTATTATTATTATTTTTATTAAAATCCAACTATTTCTATCCAGGTCATGTCTACTTCTTGAAAAACAAACCCTGGCAGAGCCCTCAAAAGTCTAAGATAGTCCTGATGTCACTGTTGTCATTTCTCCTCCATATCCCTTACACTCTTAATTGCCAAATGACTAAAACATACGAAGGACAGTTGCAGGAATAGATATGTCTAGTGTAATGAAAAGAAGGATTAGGGGTGACATGATAGAAGTGTTCCAATATCTAAGGGGCTGCCACAAAGAAGATGCGGTCAACCTATTCTCCAAAGCAGGGGTTATATGCTCCCGGTTTGGACCGGTTTTGCTGAACCGGTAGCAATGGCGGCCGGTGGTTCCGAGAACCGGTAGCGATGGTGGCAGGAGGCTCCGCCTATCCACCCGGTCATCGTTACTTCCTGGTTTTAACCAGGAAGTAACCAATTTTTTACTCTCTGTGCATGCACAGAAGGGTTTGCGCATGCGCAGAGGGTCTGTGCATGCATGTGATGTGCATGCACGCATGAGCAAAGTGTACACTTCCGAACCAGTTGGGAAGGTAAGTAGATTTCACCCCTGCTCCAAAGCACAGAACAAAAGGCAATGGATGGAAACTAATCAAGGAGGAACCTAGAAATAAGGAGAAACTTCCTATAGATAGAACAATTAATCAGCGGAAGGGCTTGCCTTTAGAAGTTATGGGTGCTCCATCACTAGAGGTTTTCAGACAACCATTTGTCTGAAACGGTATAGGGTTTCCTGAACAAGAAGACCTCCAAGGTGCCTTCCAACTACCGTATGAGAAGATGCAGTTGATTAATAATGGCCCTTTAATGATGCCCCCGGAGGAGCCATCTGAGATCAGACTTCTTTTGATAAGGCTGGTCCTATTTCTAATGCTGGACTGTCTTCTGTATGACAAGAAGTCATTTTCCAAATACTTCACAGAATCCAGATTTTGCTCTCTCCCTGAACCTAGAGTTTACACTTTTAACAACAGGCCCTCTTGATCTTTTCCCGCTACAGAAATAAATAGAATCCACCAACTGACACAAATCTTTGCCATAGCAGGAGTCTTTTTTTTTTTTTAAATGCCTACAGATTAGTGTTTATACAACCTGTCAGAGACTGAAAGCCACAAAGATGATGGAAAGTTTTCTCTAGCTGTGTGAAACCAACCTTTTGTCTAGTGTCAAAACCAGCCGGAGAGAAACTCATGGCAGGTTGTTTATCTTAGCAGACAATCCCCCATTCGAGGGCTCATCACTATTCTTGCTTGTTAAAAAACATAAAGTCTTCCCTGTGCTTCCTAATTCTGCTTCAGAAGAACATTTACAGTCATGCCCCCAACAGGAAGGGAAGCTGCCTCAGACAAAATAACTCTATCTTTGCCTGATCACGAAAGTACATTTAGGATGGGCAGAAAAGTAGACTTCTGTGGCAAAATATCGGGCTATTAAATGCTGCTTTGAGATTGTACTGTGGCTTAAAAAACAACCATTACTTTGAAAAGGCTTGTATCTTGATACAGTAAATAATACGTCAAACTGATAGCACTGGATAGTAAAATGACTTAATTTACACGAGGGAGGCTTTCTTCTTCTTCTTCTCAGATGTAGAACACTTCCATTTATTCACCAAACCACAAACATGTTGGCCCTCTGAATGAGTAAGAAATGGGTGCAAAATACTAGAAGGTGCAATTAGAATTCTGTTTCTTTTTAATAGTTGTTTTTTTTTATTAAAGATCATAATTACACTAGTAAAAACTAATACAATCTAAAAATATATAAAAGAATAGAAAGAATAGAAGGTGCAGCAAAAAGAGAAAAAAATAAGAGAAATGGAGAAGAGGAATAAAAAAGCAAGAATATAATAAAAAATATATATCTAAAGAAGTGACTTCCAAACTTCAAAGTAATTTATCCCCTCCTTGTAAAATGTACAAAATGATATCTTCTCATACTTCATCTCTTATCTGTAAAGAAATCCATAAAGCACAGTCATTTCAGTCTGAGTATCAGCAAAAATTCATTAAGGTTTGCCAGAAATAACAACTTATCTATTATCAGTCAACCTTGCTCAAATAAACCAACTTTATATTCCTTCCTTTTGATCATTATTCCATTCAAATAACATCATCAAACTTAATTTCTTTTCATTTTTTTTGTCCCTTGTCACAAGATTCCTCTCACCAGCCTCTTCTATAAATTCAATATAGGTCACTCTCTTGGTTTATTGTTTCTATATCCCTTTTAATTATTAAAACATCAGCCAGTCTCTTTTGTATGTCCAGTGTAATATCTTTTTCCATATAATTCTTCTAGCCTATCATTTGTAAATCTACTTTCAACTCAGTCTCAGTCTTGTCAGGTAAAACCTGTTCCTCTTCCATAACATCTTTTAGACACAGTTTCTCCATAGAGGCAGATGTCTGTGTTGACAATATTAATACCAAGTTCAGGGACCATTTTTTTTTTAAAAAAAAGTGCTTTAATATTTTCAATGTTAGAATAATTTGCTCCATTTTGTAATTGTAGGATTGAGTGTTCTTTTAATTACTTACCACCATAATTGAGCCCAAAATTTTTGTTGGTAAGTGAGACATTTGTTAAGTGAATTTTGCCCCATTTTACATTTCTTGCCATATTTGTTAAGTGAATCACTGCAGTAATTAAATTAGTATTTATTTATTTATTTATTGGTTTGATTTATATGCCGCCCTTTTCCAGAGACTCAGAGAGGCTTACAATGCGTTAAGCAATAGCCTTCATATTTTGTATATACCTGCTTAGTAGGGCTTTCGCCCCCCCCCCCACCCCAGAGGTGTTCTTTTTTATACAAAGTCAGTTTATTGCCCCCACAAACCAGATCCTATAACATGGTTGCTAAGGGAATCTGGCTTCCCCATTGACTTTGCTTGTCAGAAGTTTGTGAAAGGTGATCACATGACCCTGGGACATTACAACAATCATAAATATGAACCAGTTGCCAAGCATCCAAATTTTGATCATGTGATCATGGGAGATGCTGCAGTGGTCATAAGTATGAAAAATGATCATAAGTCACTTTTTTCAGTGCCGTTGTAACTTTGAACAGTCACTAAACTAACTGTTGTAAGTCAAAGACTACCTGTATAATCCTTAGTTCCCTCTAATGTCCAGTTTTTTAAAAAATATTTTTTTAAAAAAATCAAAACAAAGACATTTTCCCATGGGTAGGATTCTTTATAATTAATTCCAAAATCTTATTTCAAATTTATTTGCCCCTTTAGTCCATTTGTAACTTTCTAAAATCAAAGTTTTAATCAGGGTTTTGTTTTTTGTTTTTTTGGTTATTTATTCCAAAAGAAAGTTCTTAAACCTGTAGTTAAAACTTAATTTTGCTAATGATTGAAGGAAAACTTACCTGATGCTGTCAAACTTGTCAATACAAAAGTTTCCAATAGCTGAAAAGCAGTTAACAAGCGATTTCCAAAAATGTTTAGAAAAGGAAGTATGGGTTCTTTCAAAAGTGCCAAGTGCAGTTTGAACAAGATAGCTTGTCAGGGTTCCAAGCAACACCCTCAATGAAAGAAAACTCTGGAGCTTGAGTTTCCTCAAAGTTCCATTTTATTAGAGATGTCATATTGGCACATCATAAAGCACCGTCCCAACTGGAGATGCCTCCCAGTTCCAGTCATCCAGGTGCAGGGCAAGATGTCTTTGACTTTCTGAAAAAGGAATGTTATTATGACTATATATCACCCTGGCTCCATACAATGCCCCCACCCAGTTTCCCACAGTAGTCAATGTGGCAAGCCTGAAGATCCAACGAAAAAGATGGATGGCTTCCAGGCCTGACATAGCTATTCCCTTGTCTCCCTGAGCATTAAATCCTCTGGAGACTTCTATTTTTTTTGGTCTCCTCATGAGGAGCAACCATCTGGAACACTTGTGGGCAATCTTAAGTCCTTTCCTTGTCCAGAAAAGTTTGAAGAGATGGCCTACTCACCAGCTTTTTGTTCTTTGCCACAGTCATGGGCTCCTTTTTTTTATGGAGCCATTTCAGTCTGCCATTTCTTCTCTGGCAGAAGAAAGGAGCAGGAATGATAAAGAAATCCTACAAGCCACTGAGAAGAAGAATTATTTAAAAATACATATATTTTTTATTCATCCCACTCATTCATCTTGTGTTCAGAACTCAGGAGATAACTTTGAGCATGGGGGGGGGGAGAAAGGGGAATAGCCTGAAGAGTCAGTGTGTGCTGGTGTCAGCTTGCACCTGAATTATGTCCTTACTCACCTAAATCATTTAAGAGTGACGGCTGTGGACAATCATCTTCAGTCAAATTACATAGGACTGCTGGGAAGATGAAATGGGACACCTCCCGCATATATGAGCCTCTTTGAGAAAAAGCAGGATACTACCTTGATGTATCTACTTAACCATGGACCAAACTTTTTAAAACTTTCCACCCATATGACACTTTGATCTCCATAATCCTTAAGTAACTGGAATATATATATAGAAATTACTGCCCATCTATGCTGGAAGTAGAGGAAAGATGAGGAAAGAGAACGGATATAAATTTTACTGCCCACAAAACCTGTCCTTTGTCTCATCTCAGCAACAAGGCCAGATAGTGGTCCTGTCCTTAAACTTTGGGTTACATGGCTGTTTCAGGATAGTGATTGGTAGATTCCTGATAGCCAGCCACCTACCTGGTATCACCTACTTAAGGAAAAAGTAACCACCAACCACTCTCATGAGCATCTGATAGGGCAGGATTGAAGGGGCAAAGTATAATAATTATTATTATTTTTACTTAGACTTTTTTGAATTGACTCTGTGCTTTTTGTGAGAAGCTGACATGAAATAATCTGTAAGACTTTTAGATAGCAGCCACAGAAGTTTATTATTCCTATGTTGAACCCAATCCCCAAACATCTGCCTGAATGATTGAAAGAACCCATTCAAAATAGACAGCAGAAAGTCTGAATCAGAGAGTTTTCTGTCCTGTTTGTGTTTCTGGATCCTTTTTTCCCCCTTTCTCCTTCCACTCAATCTTAATCAACTTTGATCAAGCAAAGAGGCTCCTCTTGCACAACCCCACATCACATCCATGTATGTATTTGTGTGCCTGTTTGTCACACATGCTTCCCTATTTTAGATTTTCTCAATACACACATGCACATACAATATACACATACTTCAAGTAGGATTCCAGATGGACAAGTCTACCATTCTTCTGAGAGTCTGACATTTCCACATGGCCATTCTACTGCAGCTAAAGTCAAAATAATGCCATGGAGGCCCAGTGCCCAGTGATTGGACAGGGAAAGACATGTCTGCGGCAAATTTCCCTGACCAATCAGAGTTGAGTAGAGTTGAGCAGATCACCATCCTTGAATGCATCATCCAAGTTCACTCTTAAGGGTCCTTAGACTGTTGAGACAGGAAGCTTTATCCTGGAAAAAAAGAAAAGAAAATGCCACTTCCAACTAAGGACGACTATAGATCCGTGATGGCAAACCTAGGTGATGGCAAACCTAAAGCCCTCTCTGCGGGCACGCCAGCCATCACCCCAGTTCAGCTCCGCCATGCATGCGTGCGCGCCTCCCACCGGCCAGTTGGTTTTCAGGTCTCTGCCGTGCATGCGTGGGGTGCGAGTGCATGCAGGAGATGCACATGCATGCACAGGGTTGGGCACACATGGGGGTGGTGCATGCATTGCAGCGTGTGCTTTCAGCACTCAGCACTCAGCACCGAAAAGGTTAGCCATCACTGCTATAGATTGTCTCAGTTGTCTAGTAAGGAAACACCAAAGCCCCTCAAAAACAGCAAAGCTGTTTCCACAAGCAGGATTGAGAATTAGTTTTTAAACTAATATATCAGTAACCTCCCAACGAAGCATCTATAGTTGCATCAGGTAACTATCAAGGGAGGAACAAAGCTTGTGATAACAGTGGGTGCCTCAGTAAAAATGCCAGTGTTGTGCGTGACACTGTTTTTTTTTAAAAAGGTTATAATCTATGCTAAGAATGGTTGAAGATTTTTTTAAAAAAAACCAGAAAACAAAACAATAGCTTAAACAAGGCAAATGATGTTGAGGCTACATAGGCTTCCTTTTGCCCACTCTCAAAAAAGAGTGTTGCAAAGATACTGATCTTCAGGTTGCCCATATTTAAATACCATCAAAGGCCATGTTGGTTTGGGAATTGTGGGACTTACCTTCCTAACACCTTTGGGGAAAGTTGATTTTGACTAGTTGGAACACATTCAGTATGAATGCCTTAGGGCCTTTTTAGATTAGCAAGTGATCGCTTAAGAGATGGTGTGGCTGAGTGAAGCTATTCTCTCTTTCTCACAAAGCTAGAACAAGAGTCGTGATCACCTGCAGTGTCAAACTAGGGCACTGCCTGTGGGGCAGAAGTTCCAGGGTGCCTCCTTCAGCTTAATTCTTTTGAGGATGCTGCAGCTGCAGCTTAAAAGATCATTTACCGGATGACAGTCTGCAGGATGCAATCAATCAAGGCTTTTTTTTGTTTTGTTTTGTTTTGTTTCTATTGGTTATTCAGCTATGAAGAAGTAAAGAAATGCTGTGTACACACACACACACACATGCATAAACAAAGGAAGGCATAAAGAATGCTACACAGGTACTCACACCCTCTCCACCTGCCAGGATAGATAGACAGACAGACTCAATATGCTATTCCCTTTCAAGAATATATAAATGTAAAATGATAGGGTACTGAATAGAATAGAATAGAATAGAATAGAATAGAATAGAATAGAATAGAATAGAATAGAATTTTTTTATTGGCCAAGTGTGATTGGACACACAAGGAATTTGTCTTTGGTGCATATGCTCTCAGTGTACATAAAAGAAAAGATACGTTCATCAAGAATCATAAAGTACAACACTTAATGATAGTCATAAGGTATAAATATTTTTATTTCAAGGATAGCAGCAAAAGCTTTGAAACTAGCATGCCAAAGACTACATATCCTGTTAACCAGGTATATTTTCTCTGTAGGATGTATTAGATCAAGACAATTGCATTATAAAGACTGAGTTCCCCATTTCCACCTGATAGCCATGGCTCAGTTTGCCTCTAATTTTCTGATATAATTTTAAAACTTTGCAAGAGCGATGTGTGAAATCTTGACCTGATAGCTTTAAAAAAAATATTCATCCGCCCTAAGAAATAATGCATTAATATGATGGTTTCAAGACATGCCTCTCTCAGGCCCGTCTTTTTTTATCACTGCCATGAGAAGATGCTCCCAAAGTGCCTCCTGCTTGGTCTACTTCATCTTCAGAGGACCAGAAGGTAGCACTTGCAAGGAGATAGATAAATAGATAAACAGAGATTTGCAAGTTTCCTGTTCCATAAAAGTCTATGATTAGGAGAGGCATAGACTTCTGCTGAAAAGGATTTCTTGAATGTAAGCTAGTTTTCTGTATGCAGCTATGCATAGAGTATATGCATAAAAGAAGGAGCATATAATCCAACTGTTATTTTAACTGCGTGAGATCACAGAAAATGAACATCAAACCGAGGATGGGTATTAACTAAACAACAAGATCTACAACAGAATAATCTTGAGCTCTTATTTATAAGCACAGTTTCTCATCCTTTTCATTCTGCACTCCATGTGTAACCAGGAGTAAAGTTATTGTTTTTAAATCAACACATTTTTTTTCATTGGCCAGATGTTAGCAAAAGACAGGACCTGATGTCTCCAGTGGGTGGGCCTAGGGCAGCAATCAGTGGACAGAAGCATTTTTTTTCTTTCTGAAATTCTACCCTTTCTTTAATATCTCTTTGTCTCTCTCTCTCTCTCTCTCTCTCTCTCTCTCTCTCTCTCTCTCCCCCTCTTCATATTTAGTGAGCTCCTGCAGATAGACAGGTGATCAGATTTTTTTTCTTCAGTGTGTTTTAAATCAACACACACACACACACAGAGTGATCCAAGTTATTAATGTCTCTTCTGAAAACCCATCTCTTTGACTTTCCATTTAGCCACAACACCAGTTTTCTTTCCATGAATACATTATCCGAATAAACCTGGTAGTTGTTCACAATTCTCTTCTAACTTTCACGTTCAAATTAAATATGTCCGAGAAACATAAATATGCACACAGAGATATCAGAATAAAGGATGGTTAACTCTGTCTTGCACCTAACTCTCCATTTGAAGTTAAGGAGCTTGACTCTCCTCCCCTTCTCATACACATCCTTTTAAGGAGGAAAGGATGCAGAGATGCCAAAGTGATCTGTTGAGCAATATCTTGGGGATATTGTCTTATTGTTGAGCAATATCTTGGGGATACAATATGCTATTTATATTGACTGTTTCCTAATATGATTTGATTGCTTATTTGTACTCCATGACTATCATTAAATGTTGTACCTTATGATTCTTGATGAATGTATCTTTTATGTACACGGAGAGCGTATGCACCAAGTGTGTCCAATCACACTTGGCCAATAAAAATTCTATTCTATTCTATTCTATTCTATTCTATTCTATTCTATTCTATCTATTCTATTCTATTCTATTATTCTATTCTATTCTATTCTATTCTATTCTATTCTATTCTATTCTACATTATGATGTCCTCCTTACGAAGATATATTCAACAAATTATTCGAAGCAAGGCTGGGCTGGGGGCATCCTGTAGGCACACACCTTCCCCTCTCTTGTAAACTCTATAGAACAGATCGTGGCAGAAGCTCATTCTTTCTTTTTTTTCTTTTAACACTATTAAAAGGCTTCAGTTTTGTGCCAGGGTAACGACGGCTGAAATATTCCAGCAATGCTGAGTATGAAGGGAGGGCGTTAGTCTCCTGCGTCAGGCACACACGCTCTACATCTCCTCGCTGATCCTTAAGAAACCAGAGTTAACGCGCAACGTTCCCAAATGTCACCGGAGCTGGACAGCAAACAACGCTCATAAAAACCGTCCCGAGTGGCCCCCTGCTCGCCTTTTAAGCCCTGACAAATCCAACCTGCAACGCAGTCAGACAAACAGATCGAAGTTTTAGGGTCCCTGTTTGCGCAGGTTGACTTCTTGCTAACGGTTGCAAGAAGAAGGGAACCGCCAAATAATAATAATAAAAAAAGGGGGGGGGGAGGGCGACCGCAATTCTTAGGGCTTCTCACTTTCTCTCTCGGTTAAGCGGCCGATAAATACAAAGCAGTTTGGAAATTCAAGCGGGGTTGACAGTGGAGACGCGGTTGGGGTGAATCAATCAATCAAGGCAGAGGCTGCAGGTCTGGGCGAAGAAAGTGGAGGCTTGTGTGGGGGGGGGCTGGCGAGAGAGAGAGAAGGGGGAAGAGGGAGGGAGGAAGAGAGAAGGGGGAAGAGGGAGGGAGAGAGAGAGAGAAGGGGAAGAGGGAGGGGAAGAGGGAGAGAAGGGGAAGAGGGAGGGAGAGAGAGAAGGGGAAGAGGGAGGGAGGGAGAGAGAGAAAGAGAGAAGGGGAAGAGGGAGGGAGAGAGAGAAGGGGAAGAAGGAAGGGGAAAGAGAGAAGGGGAAGAGGGAGGGCGAGAAAGAGAGAGAGAAGGGGAAGGAGGGAGGGAGAGAGAGAGAGAGAAGGGGAAGAGGGAGGGAGAGAGAGAAGGGGAAGAGGGAGGGAGGGAGAGAGAGAGAGAAGAGGGAAGGAGGGAGAGAGAGAGAGAGAGAGAAGGGGGAAGAGGGAGTGAGGGAGAGAGGGAGAAGGGGAAGAGGGAGGGAGAGAGAGAGAGAAGAGGGAAGGAGGGAGGGGGAGAGAGAGAGAGAGAGAAGGGGGTGTGCGTTTGGGGCTTCTGCACTTATCCATCTCTCCAACACCCTCCTTCAAATCCGTCCCCAATACTTACCGAGTTCAGAACTGCGCGCGGCTGCCCGCAAAGGGCGCTTAGGAGGGAAGCTGAAGGCAGCGAGGGCAGGGCAGCTCTCTGATCTTGCTCCAGGGACGAACATCAGATGACAGCTCCAGCACGCCGAGGGAAGGGAACCCCGCTCGCCCTTCGCCGCTAGAGACAGCAGAGCTGAACGGAAGGTCAGGCGCCGCAAACTCCGGACATCCCCGCGCAAAGCAGCAGAAAGCCCGAGCGCGAACCGTCGGGGTGTCACTCTCCCCCGGCCCCCCTTTAACCGAGGAAGGACGTGCCCGGGCAGAGCTGGGAAGGGGAAGCCGGCGAGGGCCAGGACGGCTCAAGGAGAGCTCTGCCGCTTATAGCTGAAGATGCTGCTGCTTCTCCCGCTGTGGCTGTTGCTGCCGGAGTTGGCCCTCCTGGCGCCGGCTCAGAAGTTTTCAGCGCTCACGGTAAGGCAGCCAGGCGGCCCGGTGAAACTCCGGCTATTTCCTACTCCTTCCCTCTCGCCGCCGCGCCGGGGCAGCAAAACCCTCCCGCCGTCCTTCTCCCCACGCTGGCCACCGGCTTCCCACTCACCAGGATACTCGCTGAGCCCTTTTGCCCAAGCCGGGAACCTGCCCTTGCAGTCGGGAAACTGCGACTTCGCTGATCTGGGTGCCCAAAGTCTGGAGGGTGCCCGCTTCTTCCAAGAGTCCCTCTCACGTGTTGGCTGAAATCCTCACTCGAGGTGATCGGCTTGTTTTTTTTTTTAAAGCAAAAATAGGGCTCCGGTCCTTAATGCTAAATCTATCCCCACCAAACCCCCCACTTTAAAATGTGAAACTAGCAAATTGTGGCTTGTAGATCTTCGACCCCTCTTCTCCCAATTATCAGCAGGACTGATAACCTTCGTTTGATAGGATACATTTTATTAGCAGGAATCTTAAAATTGACATCGTTCTTAAGAGTTCCTGTGCGCACAGATAATGCTTGTTTGAAGTTAGTTGCTACTCTCCGCGAATTTTTCATAATTGTCTTCCCACAATCAAAGAATAATTACTGGGTATCGATTTCCCTGTGCCTAATGGACACTGATATTTACATAAATTTTTCTCCGAGAGGTTGAAGGAGCATTAATAAGATTAATTAATACTGAGTAAACCTCTGCGCCTTGGGTATCCCTCTGCCAGGTTATTGTAAAGTAATTTGGAGCAATGCAGTTTATTGAGTTTGTGTTCAGGTTACGGACACGTCAGTGCTGCATTTAGGATTTACTCAATCCAGTTTGGTTCTACTGAAAGTGCTTGGACGAAGTGCAAAGTGCAAAGAAAGTGGTTAAGTGGTTTGGGTTTGGGTTTGGCAGCTTGCAGTTTGCTGGAAATCCCCGGGGAATTAGGCTCCCGGTTGCAAACTAATTGCCTTTTGAAAAAAAAAGGACAGATTTAAGAGTCTGAAAACACTGATCCTAAACGCAATGAGTTGGAATACAATTAAACGTTCAAAGGTTTTACTCGAAAGGAGTTCCCACTTGAAATCGTGGCTTGGCCATAGAGTTCACTTCAGTGAATGGGATTCACTTTCACTTTCTAGGTAGATGCTCCCTGCTTAATTTTTTTTTTTTAAAAAGAGAATGAATAGGAACCAAACTGGTGCTGAATAGGCTTGGTAAAGATCCAGCTTCAGGACTGCTAGCTTATAATCACTGGGCATGAGGCAAAGGAACCTGACTGTGTTTATCTATGCTGTTTCGCAACTCAGTAGAACTTTTAAGCATTAAGTCTAATGAATGAATGAATCTAATGTCTAATCTATCACTAACCTCCTTTGAGTCACTTCCAATAGATTTAACGTAGCACCAAATGATTACTGCATTTCCTGAAATATCAATTCACCAGGTATTTGGATTTGTTTTGCGGGGATGGCACGGATATTCATTTCCCATTAATGCACTGAGGATTCACTGAAATTGTGGTCAGAAATCCCAGTTACTCTTAATAATTTCAGTTACTCTTCCCTCCAAGCAGGTATGCTTAGAAATACCCTGATCATTTTGATCTGTGAACTGTTTCTTTCAAAATACTTCCAGGCAGCTGCTGTGTTGCCAAGAAGTAGCAGTAGATGGGCAACAACTTTGGATAGGCTAGTTTTATATAAAAAAAAGACCAACCATCACTTCTCTGGGAAAACTCAGAGTTATAGAAGTTGCATTTTGTAAAATGATGGTTTCTTTTAACTGCCTTTTAGATACACATCATACTCTTGCTATCTTACTTCCTATCTCCAGTTTGACTCCCCAGGTAATTGGACTGTTCAAGACCAAATATTCTATTGAGCATTCATTTATTCACGATGCCTTTAACTACCCACTGACTAGTTATTCTACACCAAAAATATCCAATGCAGAAGACAGCTTGAAGGTTCAGAAGGTTATCTTCTCTTCCAGTGTTGGCTGAGAATACTTAGAAAATTTAGTCAATTCTCTTTCCTAAATCTTCCCACTGCCCTCTGCCATGAGACAGAAGACTTTCCTTCTTCAAGCTTTATGCTGGGGAAAGAAAGAATAAACAGGTGTTTTGTGTGTGTTCCCCTTGGTATGATTAACTACATTTCTGGCCCCTTTATGATGTACAGAATGGGTAACGTATGATTACTCTGAGCTGTATTTCATGTTCAGTCCAGAAAAACACCAACTTTTTGGAAAAGTTCCTCTGCTGTCCCCTTTCAAAAACTTGTCCTATTCCAACATTCTTTAGCCACGTTGCTAGGATATTGCATATGAATTTTACTAAAGTCAGTCTCAGTAAGAATAAATGCAAATAAGCTATTGCTCCACATTAAAACACTCAGGGTCTACATATAATTACTCACTTGTCATCAACAAAAGAAAGCAGAACCAACTTCTGTTGCATACACTATCAGTTTCATGAGAATACTTTAATAGAGATGTTTATTTACATTACAGCACCTGTATGTAAGCTGAACTGAAATATATTCTATATATGAATTTATACAAGCTGGTAGCCCAGTTTATCAGTCTTGAAACATTCCAGTTTCCTGGAAATGAATATCCATGCCCTTGTAAAAAGTCTTTTGTGGGAAGGAATTTGAAAAAAACCAAGTGGCGAGTTATTTCATTTATCTTTAAATCATATTAAAGATTGCATACGGGATAATGATGTAGTGGCAGTTTCCAAAACAATGAACTGGGAAAACAAGTAAGTAGAAGATGTTTCTCTGCATTTTCCTATCAAATAGCCTTTTATTTACATTTGATAACATATAATATAGCAACAATAATAATATACAATTCTGTCTGACCAAAGAACAGTCAATTAAAATCCCTCCCCCCACATAACCCTGAGAGCATTTGCAAGGCTACATTTTCATGACAATTTTCTTACTTTGAAAATTGGTGTTATATTCTTTCCTTTATGGAGAAAGAATGGGCAACATATATTCCACATCTCCATCTCTTATCAGCCTTACTCCACATAGCCAATGATAAGAATATAAGCGATGTAGTCTTACCAACACCTCGTAGGATGCTGGTTGCCCATGTCTTCATTAGATGAAGGCTGCCCTTACTTCCAGTATCCTTGAGTATCTTCATCACTACAGAGGAACAGCTACACATATGTAAAAATAGATACAGCAGCCGAATATTAAACAACAGGTATATAACAAGTCTGGATTGTACATTGCTTCTGATTTAGCTGCTTAAATCCAGTGGATTTCCAATGGGAATTAATTGAATACATCTATCTACAAGTTTATAGTTTTAGGACATGACTTAAAGGATCCCTGGAGGTATTGTTTGATGCTACAATTGCTTTATAGCTTAGGCAGAGAGGGGGAAGAAGATGATTGGTCCCTCAGCTGTGCTGATTTCAAAAAGGGAGCCATGCAGGTTGCATGTGAATTGACATTTATATAGCCATCTTTACTTTTGATTTTTTTGGTTCTGTCAACAGATCATGATTTGTGACCCAGTAGCAAACTATAATCAGAGTTGCGCTTCAATATTATAAATTAAAATGGCTCCTTTGAATTTGCTCTCATTGTCTAATCAATCAAAGTTTTATGTGATTAATTTTCAAAGTAAACCAATGTAATATGCTGATGCAATGGGATATTATTTCCTTCTACTAGATTATCTCAAATGATTGTATTTTATTCCGATTTCATTTTAGATCGTATTTTATTCTAATTGCATTTTTAATCGTGCGTTATTCCAATTTCATTTAAATTGTTTTACCAAACTTTTGTAATGATTTGTTTCTGGAACTCTGCACTTTGATATGGCCCAAGGGCTAATCAATCAATAAATTCATTCATACTAGACTACTGATTGATCATTGCACTTTGATTGAGTTATCATTTGTGAAGTTTCAGATTATTTTATTCATTAGGACTTGGGGCAGATAATCCTTGTGGTGCTTATTAAGTTTACAAGTTTTTAATTCCATGATTCTTTTCAGCACACCTTAATTGCACAAAATGAGCTGTATTACAGTAGCAAAGAGCTTTGTCTTTACTGATATAAATCTAAGGTTATAGACAGATCAGTTTTGGAGAGCTCCAATAGTTAACACTTTTTGATAAGGACCATTTGACAAGAAAATGTAGCTGGCTGGTCATAATACAGTGCATGAATGGTCCTTGTTTTATTTGGTGTGATTTTGTTAGCTGCATCAAGATAAGAGAACAACAGAACATTGATAACTCAATCCAATGTGTAAAAAGGTTAAATTAAAGCCATAAGAATGGTCCTTCTCAATTACAATCTATACACTTGAGAGAGAAGATGCATTTAAAAGGCAGCTGAGCAATTGACTGTAAACAATTTGTATAGTAAAATGACTCAGGTTCACTTTATGCCCTCTTCAAATCAACTTTCACAACTAATCTGTTTACCACAGACTTTGGGATGACCATGGACTAAATGCAGGGGCAGAATTTTTTTTTTATTGCTAGGTTTAAATAACTACCTTAAAACTCATCAAATGTCTTAAAATCTAACAGTTGTTTAAAGGGTTGGAACTCTGAGGGGGATAGACATATTCTTTATATCAGTCATAAAATGGACATACCATTTTATTTATCTTAGACTTTCAGTAAATGAAGAGTTTCTGCTATACAATACCATAAATATTATCTGGCAATCATTTCTTGTGTAACTCAAAATGAGAATGGCTGGGTCGTTTATGCCTGACATTCTTCAGAAGGAGTTCCATTCTTTTTGCAGACTTTACTGGAAAATGATTTCTGGGTTTAAAAGCTAGCAATTGGCAACCTCAAAGAAGCTCCAAAATCTTTATGGTGTGTGATTTCTGCAAGGGCAGATCATAGTAAATCAGGTAGATATTGACAAATTTTCATCCCTGGGTTGCTACATTTAAAAGTTTGGCTTAAATTATTTTACAGTAAGTAATATAGAGTGTTTTTCCTCCTCCTTAAAGTTTAAACAATA